TAAAAGAAAGAAAGAAAGAAAGAAAGAAAGAAAGAAAGAAAGAAAGAAAGAAAGAAAGAAAGAAAGAAAGAAAGAAAGAAAGAAAGAAAGAAAGAAAGAAAGAAAGAAAGGCTTTGCACATGAAACTCTCCCTTACTCCCAGCAGCTTCATGATGAGTTCACGATCCTCCTCGTCCTGGTCCTTATACTTCTCCTTGATTTTTTTCAGCTTGCTCTGAGGGAGAGGGGGAGAAGAAAAGGAGTGAAGGGGTGCCACGGAAAAGAGGGCAACCCACCACCACCGAAGCCTGAATGCTGAGCTTTGAGGTGCCCGGCCAAAAGGTCAGCAGGACTCACTGACAGCTCCCAGCGGCTGGCTGTCAATGTTTGTGGCCAAAGTTCTCCCAAAGCCACCGCAAAGAACACACCAGTTAGCCGTCTTCGGATACCATGAGCGAATACCAGCCAGCCACGTTCTTGCAGCTCAAACAGAGCCCTCAACTCATGGAGGGTTATGGCTCCATGAGGACTAGAATCCGCATCTCCCACAGGGTGGTAAAACATATATTTTAATGTGAGCTTTCATGGACAAGCGCCTGAGGAAATCAACCCAGAGTGCAGGACATGTGACCATGGGCTCAAGTCCCAGGAAGCCAGATTTCGGCTGAAGACCAGGAAGAACTTCCTAACGGTTAGAGCAGTACGACGGTGGAACCCCTGACTTCGAGAGGTGCAGAGTACAGGACACGCGACCGTGGGCTCACGTCCCAGGAAGCCAGATTTCGGCTGAAGACCAGGAAGAACTTCCTAACGGTTAGAGCAGTACGACGGTGGAACCTCTTACTTCGAGAGGTGCTGAGCGCTCCAACACTGGAGGCGTTAAATAGAAACCTAGACCACCCTCTGTCAGGTCTGCTTTGATCTGGATTTCCAAAATGAGAAGGGGGTTGGACGCGATGGCCTTACAGGCCCCTCCCAACTTCACAATTCTATGAAAGGGGCTCGTCCACAAAAGCTCACCATAAAACGTCACGTTAAGAGATAAGAAGCCTGAGGGGTCATCGTGGCTCATGTACAACGTCAAGAGAGCCTTCCCATCAGAGAAGGTTCTCCCTCCCAAGCCTTCATACGGGTTCCTGAATTTGACCCCTTGGAATGTGGGGAGTTAAAGAGGGATGGAGGGGTTGACATTAGTTTCACAAAGGGAGAAGAGCTGCGTTAGTCCGTGCTAGCGTATCAGGAAAAATGCAAAAGAAAAACAAAGATGACAGAAACATGGTGGCCCCTTAATCTCCACGTCCAGACACAACAATTGCTAAGTGAACGAGTTATGCAAATCCACCTCAGCCATCTGTGGGAACGGAATTCTCTTCGAAGCGAGCGGAAAAACGGCGAAACCGCTAAGACGAAGCAGGAGGCCTGACCAGACACAGGCTCTCCTCTCCGCACAGACGGAGCCGGCTCTATGGAGAAGCGAACCCTCGCGCACACGAGGCTCAAGGGGCGCACAGACCTAACCAGACAGCCTTCTCTTTTAAAGCACATGACCCTCTCCCGGCTTCATCCTGCACACCTTTTGCCCTCTCTTGACGGCCGGCTGGGGGCCCGCGCTCCTGTTTGCCCCGGGAGGAGGGGGTGGGAGTTGAGCCCGCTCCTGCTCTTCCTTCGGCTTTGGCGTCTCAGCCTCTGGCCACTCGCTCTGCTGCTTCCTTTTCTTCATTTCTCTGCAGGAAAGCAACCCTGCCTGTCACAGACGTCCCAAGAGCTCAGACTGGCAGACCAGCTTCCACCTTGGCAAGCAAACGCACCCCTGCTGACAAGAGCCAGCGGCCACGTTCCGAGGGCCAAGCCCAGAGGCAGGAGGCACAAGCCGTCGCCCGGCCCTGGCCTGGCCACACAAGCAGGGGGCTCCGTCCCTCAATCCCCTCCCTGGGCTGAGCGAAGGCCACGCCACCAGGCCGGCTGCCGCTGGAGGGGCCGAGTGGGGAAGGCCTCCCGCCTTCACAAGCAGCCACAAAAAGGCTCCTCCCGGATCCTCAGGAGAGCCACGCTGGGTGCCTGCCCACACCCCCCTCACCTCTTCTCCTTGGCCGAGAGATGCTTGTGGCCTTGGGACTTGCTGTCACTCTGCAAGGGGAAGAAAAGGAGGTGGATCACCAGAAGACATGACCCACGCCGGCCGATCTCCAGGAGGAAAAGTGCTTACCAGGCTCACCGCCTCCTCTCTGGCAGCCGCTGTTCGCAGGGGTCTGTAACAGAAGAAAGGGGCCGTCCATCTCCCGCACAGCACAGGCTGAAGGGAGCGCCCTCCGGGGGGGGCACACTCCACATTGGGAGCGGCCAGGCAGGTCAGGGAACCCTTCCGGGCCAGGGCCAAAATGGCGCCTGTCACGCCAAGGGCCGGCCTCTGGCTTCGAGGTGGAAAAGGGTCGCCCACATTCCCCACGGCTCCTTCCCGCGTCTGGTTCGCCGCAGCTCCACCGGCCCAGATGCTCAAAAGGGGCACGATGGTGGGGTAAGCGTGGATCCGTCTGTATCCTCCACACATGCCAAGGAGCAGCTCCGGATGCTCCAGGAGGATGCCAAAGAGGGCGCTCCTGCCCCCAGCCACCCCGAAAGGCTTGTTCAGAGACGCTGCCTCTGTGTAGAGCAAGCCTGACCCCCCCACCCCCCGGGCAGGCTCTGGCCCCTCCAGCCCGCTTGGCCTTATCAAGGAGCAAAGGTGTCTGGACAGCCGCCTTCCCCTCTCGGAAACAAGAGGGCCGTCTCTCTCTCTCTCTCTCTCTTTCTCTCTCTCGGTTGATGGCTTCAGTCTGTCTCCCTTACCTTTGGGGCTGGAGGTGGGAGAGGTCAATGGTCGTGTCTGGGAAACGGACCTCCCCGGAGGCCTCTTGGGCTTCTTCTTCTGGCTCAGATTCTGCGTCCTGCTCATCGGACGATCCTGCCGGGCGCTCGGCCGGCCCGTTCCCTTCGCCCTCTGGCGTCTCCGCATCTTCTCCAGCCTCCTTCTCCTCCTCCTCCTCCTCCTCCTCGTCCCTGGGCTTCTCAGGAGGTTCTCCCTTCTCCTCGTTCTCGCTGCTGCTCTCCTCTCCCTCGGGAGCGTCTTGGAAAAGGCAAAGAAGGAGCCCCTTTGCCACTCGGAACGAGGGCACCCCGGCCTCCAAAGCGTTTTGTGACAGCAAATGCCCCGGAGGCCTTGACGAAGCCAACGCCACCCACAGAACAGGCGAAGGCATACGCCCACAGAGCGCCAACCGCCCGTTCCTGGCTGGACCGACCCTCCGACGACCTGCAACCTTAAAGGAAGGGAAGGACCTTCCCACAGAGCAGGAGATGTGGGGTGCCCCAGAAGAGAGTGGGTTTGGAGGCACTGGGATACCCTCTCTCTGCTCCTCTCTTCCTCCTTCGGACCTGGGCGATATATGGGTCAGTGCCTAGGTTAAGGGGAGAATTCTCTCTCCCTTATGGACTAACTACACCACCACCAGTATCCCCCCATGGGATCCACAAAGGGGTCTCCTCAAGCGCTGTTTGGCTATTCGGAAACGCACCGAGTCTGCCCATGAAGCGCTCCGCAAGGACTGAGGCCACCTGCAAGCGTACCTAAGGGCTCCGTCTCTTCTGCCGCCAGCTCGCTGGCGCTGCTGGTCACCGTCTCCATGTCCTCCTCTTGAAGTTTGACCTTCCGCTCCCCCTTGTGTCTCCAAACACAGGATTCGTCTACCTGGAGAAGGACCAACCAAGAAAATGAAGCTTACGGGCAAGACCCTCCGGCACCTGCCTGCTGTAACCTCGAGATGTGCCGGAATGATAAGCTGAGCTTATTTTAGAACGGCAGGGCAGGAAGGGGCCCAACAGATCCCCTGAATCCAGCCCCTGTCCAGGAGGCTCAGAGACGTGAACTCCCAGAATCTCTGGCTCCCCAGCCAGAGGCCGAAAGCCCTTCTGGATCCACCTGTCTGGCGAGCTTTGTTTGTGAACTGGTGCTTAAAATTTAGAGTTCCAAAAACTGTACCTGATAAACACATGGAAAATGCATCAGGGTCCCTCTCGGGGGGGCCCCATGCCTCCACTTCTACGTTTGTTCTTTTGGCATTTCGCAGAAAACAAGAAAAAAGCCGTTCAAGCCATTTTTGGAAGTCTCTGCTCTCTCTAACCCCATTTTTTGCCCAAGTCTGCTCACGAAACTCCTTCCTGAAATTGAAATCTTCTGCTCAATCTCTCTTTTCTCCCAAGGGTTTCAGAGCACGCCGAGGCCCCGCTTCTGAGTGGAACGGAAGGGCACAGTGCTCCCTGGAAAACCAAGGGCTAAGAAAGAACCTCCATGTTCCTGGAGTATCTGATACCGACAGGAGGGAAAGGGCATCGTCTCCCGCCTGCTCCCCTTGAGGGATCTCCCGAGAATACGGCGAGAGGCATGGCTAACTCAGCCTTCTCTCGCTGCAGACAGGCTGGGCTACAATTCCCTTAAGTTTGTATTTCCGTAAATCAGGAGAGTCCCCGCCCTACCCTCGGGATAGGCTGCAGTCGAAGGACCTGAAGTCTTCTGAGCTCTGCATGTTGTTGTTTTGTTTTTAATCCATGAAATGCTTGATTCATGTATAAATGAAAATCAAGAGACTTGACGAAGCAACAGCTGGGGGCAGGGGTTGGGGAGAGGTTCCCCCCCTTCCCCACAGCTACTCAGGCCCAGGGCTGGAACCCCGGGCCGAGCAACGCTCCACCAAACCAGAGGAAAGGGTTGTGGCTCCGGCTGGTCTCGTTCACCACTTGAGAAAGAGCCTTTTCGGGACTACAATTCCCAGGCTGATCTGGAAGGCTCAGGGAAGGGTAGTTCTCAAAAGCCATTTTTCTACATTCTCATCCTTTTCACACGGCTGGACGCCGAAGGTTAAGGACAGCCGGAGAGCTCGGTGGTTTAGCCCTCTGGTTACGGGACCAGAGGCAGGGGGTTCAAACCCCCCCACTGGGCCTCCTTCACAGGGGCTGGACGTCCAGCTTTGCCGTTCTTATTTATTTTTTAATTAAAGGAAAATAACAACAACAAAACTAGCCTAAGGTACACGGTTCATACACAATACAAATAAACCGTTCTGAAGTCATTATTATGGCAAGGGAAGAAGGGGAATGGGGGGGGGCTGAGCAGTGTCACCTCCCAAACTCTCACGGGGCCGCTAAAAACATATGAAGGGGCTCACGGCTGTCCCCGAAGATGTTTTCGCTCTTCGCCTGGAATACTTTTTCTGCAAATCTAGAGCATGAACTCAATCTGGAAACAGAAAAAACTGATTTATACCAACTCAGGCTTATCTGCACTGGCTGGGCAACCAGAGAGCCCTCCTCCTGGGGCTTTCAAAAAGAGTCTCTCCCTGCACTGGGTTGATTGAACCCGGGACCTTCTGACCCTGAATGACAAAGCAAAAAAAGCAAAGTGTGCCACTTTTATACACTGCCCCATAGTGCTTAAGGCACCCTCTGGACAGTTTACGATTTTAATTATGTAAACAACACATTGCCTCCCCACTCCAGCAGATAGGCGGGATATAAATAAAATAAATAAATAAATATTGCCTCCCCACTCCAGTGAGCTGGGTACTCCCATTGACCAACCTTGGAAGGATGGAAGGTTGAGCGAACCTTGAGTTGGCTACTTGAGCATGTCAAGATCGAACTCAGGTTGTGAGCAAAGTCTTCACGGCGGCCCTGCAGTCTAGCCACTGCCCCGCAGCCCTTGCCCCCCCTCCCATCCCATCACAGAACATCTGACATCCTTCTCAAGTCTTCTCTTACACAAGAGGCCGCAACAGGGACCCCAGAGCAGCTTTCTGCTCCCCCAGAGCTTGAAAGCCCTGCTTTTGCACTACAACTCCCAAAATCGTACAGCCAGCTAGCAGGGGATTCTGGGCATCATGATCCAAAAATGTAGCCACTCCAAGCTCTGCCCTCTTTTACACACACACATACACACACACACCTATCGTTCCCCAAAGAAGTTACACTTTCTCTGTAGCAATTTATTTACTACTGTTTACCACACACACACAGAGGACAGAGAAACACACAACACGCACACACACGCAGCAAGACAGAGGCAACGAATTGAAACCACAGTACCTTAAATAAGAAGCTGAACCCCATCATCAAATAGGAAGGGGGCAGGAAATTCTTTTTTCCTAGAAAATGCAACAAGAAAGACAAAGACGGTCAATTCCACCACTTGGGAGGCTCAAGAGCGGAGTTCATCCTGGCATCTCGGGGACTTTGCGTGAAGGCCTCTGAAGGCCAGACCCAATGTTTGCCCCCTTCCCACAGGCAAAGCCCAACATGAATGGCAGGAACCCCTCCCTCCACATGTCGTGGGTCTTACCTCGGACCATGAAGCTTCCTGTGGTCAAATATTCCCCCGTGGGAGCGGTCTTAGATACCTGCACAAAGGGTACACAAGAGATGTTGACGCAGCGTCAGCAGCCAACACAGCCACAACAACAGCAATGCTTGTGCGGAACAGAGAGGTGTCGTCTTTCTGCTGGGAGGGAAGATCCCAAACCAACCCCTCCATGAGTATTTCCTGATAGGTCTGTTTCCCCATAGTGAAGAGTTTCTCTGTAGGTGCCCTTCGGAAAGTCCCTCTGCCATCTTTTCCAAAAGTGCGGCTGGATCTCCCCACAAGGCTGGCAGTCCTGCCTTTATGCTGAAAGAACTCGGACCGTAGGGGGGGGGGGACAGAGGAAGGAAGTGCTGAAGGCAGAGATACGGGGAGATACAGAGAGGATGGAAACTGGGTTTCCTCCTCCCTTGCCGAGGGGGCATCGCTCTCTCTCTCTCTCGCTCTCTCTCTCTCTCTCTCGTCGCAGGACGTGAGCTGGGGCTGCCATGGGCTCTGCAGAGCCAAGGGGCTGCCTACGCCCAAGACAGATGGGCAGCATCTCAAACCCGCCCCCGTGGCAGGTGAAACCTAAGCACTTTGGCCTTTGTGTTGACTGGGATGGGAGGCGGGGTCTCTGAGAACCACGCACATTTTCCCAGTGTACCTGCCCCAACCCGAAAAAGTAGGGGTCACCCTGGAAGGACACACATCCTAGGAACGGGAAGGAGACCCTCAGGGAAATGGACCGAAAGAAAGAAGAGAAAATGAGGTGGGGTGTTCGGCTCAACAAAGTCCAGAGAGGTGGCAGCATCCGTCTACTCTTTAAAAGAGGCCACGTTCTTCTTGTGGCCCCTCCTTTAAGGTCTGGCTTATTTATGGCGAAATAAACGTTTGGGGATGACAGAGTCCACTTCATTGGCTGCCCTTCAGCCCAGGCATGGGACCCCTTCTGCCTCACTCGGACGGCCGTGACGCCAGGTCCCCCCGTCCGCAAGCAAAGCAGCCCCAAGCCGAGAAGCGCAAGAAAGCGCCGCTTCCGCCCCAGCTCCGCGATCAGAGACAAGGGCCTCATTACCTGATGATGATAGACCCACCAGGCGCTGGTGATGATCCGGGCGTCCCAGGCGGCGCTGTAACACAGGGCCATGGTGCCGGTCTCCATCAGCGTCCGAGGGGGGACCGGCTCCCCTGCAGAGTCCAAAGGGCAGAATCCAGAGGAGGCCGCGAGAAGGCCGTTCCCAACAAAAGGAAATACAAGAAACATTTTCTGTAAATGTGGGTTTCGGCATTCATTAATTACCCTGATGGGCAAGAAGTGAGACACTCAGGAGGATGCAGTACATTTTGAGTTCATTTTTATGTTCTGAAACGTGAGCCAGTCTGTGAGGAGGGCCTACAGAGCTGGGGGCAGAGGGGGGAAGAACCTGACTTTAACGGCCTGCGGTAACTACGGAACAGCCCAACACGGCTTCAAAAATGTGCCCTCTGCACGGTAAGGGAAATGCACCAAACTGACCCCCGTGGGACTCAGCAGCCATGTGAACTGCTCCACAATTGACATCCCAGTTCCTACAACTTGGACACCACGATGCTCAGGGCCTTTGGTGTTTGGCCCTGGGGGGGTGGCGGGGGGTACAGCTTTAGAGGAAAGACACAAAAGAGCTAAAAAAACCCCTCTTGATTTTGGGTGCTTCATATTCACTCAACGTTCGTGTGCCACAGGAACAGCTCAAAACTCACCAGCACTCATCCGATTCCAAAGGACAGGAGAGCTGGCCGTTAGGACAGAGAACCACCGGTCTCTCTAAATGGGGGGACAGGGCGGAGGAGAACCTCAGGATGACCCAAAGCTCCATGAGAGAACCCGCCAGACGCCTTTTGTGAGCTCCCCAGAGAGAGACGAGAGAAAGAGACCCCCTTCTCTCAGGCTCACTGCTCAGCAGCTGGGAGCCAGCCATTTTTTTTACAGCACTGGCTGACGAATCCTACAAGATGAGTTCTTCTAGCCCACAGCAGGGGCAGGGCAGGCGAAATATCTAATCAAGCTCTTCGTCAACATTTACTTTTGGACTTCTTGTGACCACCTGAGGCCGTTCGGGAAAAGCACCCCAGCACCTTGGGCAGACAGAGAAATGTGGACTTCTGCCTGTCTCCCAGAGAGAAGTGGGTTTGAATCTGAACGGCTGGACAGCACAGCGTTTTCGGTCTCTGGCTGCAGGGCCAGATGTGGGGAGTTCGATTCTCCCCACCCACGGGGCTTCCTGGACAGGGGCTGGACTCCATAAGGATCCCCAGGGTCCCTGACAGCTCTGCAAGTTCCAAGATTCCAAGCAGCAACTCATTCGCCTGTAGTGTCACCCTGCCCGTTTACACCCTGGTGCTTGCACTGGTGTAATTAACTGGTGAGATTCTGGCCCAAAACAATTTGGAGAGTGATTACACTCAGTGCTGAAGAAGCTCTCTACAGGCTTCTGCGGCCTCGCCCACCCAACCAGCTTCAACAACTCAATGAAACAAGAGATTTATTCCAGGTTCTATGTCTCAATGAGGAAACCTCGTCCGGGCTTTATTTAAATGCACTGAAAATACCACAGTGATTCAGCTCCCACCCTCTGCCTCACCGTCCCCAGGGGCACCCCCGAGACCAACGTTAACAGACTCTCCACTTGAGGTATCGAAGCAGGCACAAAAAGAGAGGCCCCTGACCGTTCAGTCTTTCTTTGCTAAATCGTCCTCCCCCTAAAAGCATTACCTGTTGGATTCTTAATGATGCAGCTGGTCGCTCCGTGGATGTCCGCATGGACGTAGAGATCCCCTGTCAAAGAAAGAGCGGCAGAGACAGAGAGGTCAGGAGGAAGGATCGGAACGTGACCGATTATATCCACAAATTTGGAGCTTTAAAAAAGCCATCCACACCAGGGACAAAGGCCAAAATCACCCACTCAATCCTACAGAAGGACGAGGAAGTAGCCTGATGCCACGCCAGACCACGAGACCCTCTCCGGAGTCTCAAGCAAGATGGAGGGAGCCAGACTCACCTGCTTTCATGTACCTCTTGACGATCATCTCGTTTTGTTGTTGGTCCCTCCCAGCTATGACGAGGTAATTTTCAGAGCTAATGAACCACAGGAATTTCTCAAACCTGTCAAATCACAGCAAAACATAGCAAACAGACATCGTCATGACGGGAGAGAGAAGGAGCCCCACGTGGCGTCAGAGATGTTTTTGGGATGCTCTGAACTTCCTGAGTTGTCGCCACCGAACTCCCTGCCTCAGATCGAGAAGAAGAAAAACTAAGACTTGGGGAGGGGGCGTTTTGTGCTACTCGGTTCCCAGAGGTTCTGACAAGCGGCTGCCCTCATGATATGGAAACTCGGGGCCCTCCTGGCAGTGAATGCCTGCTCTCGTGGGCCCAGAGACGCGACAGCTAAGTGGGAGATACTTCTGGAGAAGGGGAAGTGAAGGTCCCACCGGCTCCCCTTCCATCGCAACCGTTCAAGCAGCCGAGAAGGCTCTTCCAAATGGCACGATTCTCAGTCCATGCTAAACCCCTCTGGAAAAGGTCGGCTGTTTTTAAAATATCTGATTGTGCTTTGAAAGATGAACACTAAAGGTATAGTTTCAAATGCTGGAGCCCAGAATTACTTTTTAGTTGGAAAAAGTAGCACAGAGAGAATCAGAATCACCCACATAAATATTTGCCTAAAATACTGGAAAAGCAGGGAGATTAGAGTAGGCATCCTTCAGTCTCAAGAGACGATGGTAGCGTGCTCTGTATGGAGGACTTGGAACAGCATATCATGTGGCTGAGAAGGCCATTTCGAGAGTGACCATCCCTTCCACACTGAACACAAATAGTCTGTCCCCTGTCCAGCTCCCTGATTTTGCCGCTCAGGATGGCCTCTTTGCCTCGACCTGCTGGACAAGGGTCTCTTCAAATTGGGGGAGGCTGTGATGCGCCGCCTGCCTCCAGGCTGAACGCTCAGAGGTCAAGGTTTCCCATCTGTGGAGGTCCATTTCCAAGGCTTTCAGATCCCGCTTGCAGATATCCTTGGATCGCAGCTGTCGTCTCCATCTGGGGCGATTTCCCAGGGAGGCAGGGAGACCTCCGGCTGATCCCATATGGGATGGGGTCGGCAGATGGGTGCGGCAGAGGATGTCTGAGACCACAGGAATTGCTCCATAATGATGATGATGATGATGATGATGATGATGATGATGATGAATGCCCCCCATCTAATGCAGGTAGAACCCAGGTGGGGTGTGAGGAAACCCCCTTCCAGAAGTGCTTCAAAGCTATGACGTGAAAGAGTCCTTGTTCCAGATACTTCCAGGAAAACAAAGTTACCTCAACGGAATACTCAAAGCCCAAGCACTGAAGCATCGGACATTTCATTCTCTGCCCTCCTGAAGAGGAAAAGGTGGTACTCTGGGGACGTCAGAAAGTCATCCACGCATACCTACTCACCAGTACACTTTCCTGGCTTTCTGAATGGTCGTCACCGTTTGCACTTCTTTTAGCGTCTGCTTGGTTTTCTTCTCTGCCGACTTGAAGGCCTGTTTAGAAGCAGAAGAGACACACTAAGCCAGAATCCAATGAGACAAAACGAGAAACAGGCACTGTCAACAGTATTTCAGGTATGGACTAGCTAGCTGGTGAGAACGCAGCGTTCTTGCTTTCAACTGGCGGGCCAACAAGAGCCTTCTGATGCAGGGGTTAAACTACCCGACAGCAGTTAAGACTCCACTCGCAACCAGAGTTCGATCCCAATGAATTCAGGTAGCCGGCTCAAGGTTCACTCAGCCTTCCTTCTTTCCAAGGTTGGCAAACTTGGAAACCCAGCTTGCTGGGTGGGGTGAGGGAGGGTTGGTCATGTGCAAGCCTGCATAATTTAAATTTAAAACTGCCCAGACAGGGCTTCAGATGCTATGGAAGCTTCAAATGGTGCAGAACGCGGCAGCCAGACTTCTTAGTCGGGTGAGAAAACACGAGCGTATCTCTCCCACTCTGGCTGCCCTACACTGGCTGCCCATTCGCTTCCGCATCGACTTCAAAGTGTTAATGATGATGTATAAAGCCCTAAATGGTTTGAGACCTCGGTATTTGGCAGCTCGCCTTCTCCCACCCAGGTCTACCCAAATTACTCAGCATAGCCAGGAGGAGGGTCAGTTGAGGGGCCCAACGCCAAGAGAGGCCCGGAAAGAAAGAACAAGAAACCGGGCCTTCTCGGCAGTGGCCCCTTGACTATGGAACGGCCTTCCATCAGAGATCCGCCTGGCTCCTTCGCTGGGTGTTTTTAAGAGCCATTTAAAAACTTGGCTCTTCAGGCAGGCCTTCCCTCCTGTCAAGTCTTGAATTCTATCTTTCTGTTCTTTTATTCCCCATCTTGATCACGCTACATTATTGTTCAAATGTTTTTACGATTATGAATGTTGTTTATTTTTGATTGTGAGGTTTTTATTGTTATTTAATGATATTTTATGATTTTGTAAGCCACCCCGAGTAGACGCTGTGTAGGGGGTGGGATATAAATCAAATCAAATCAAATCAATCAATCAATCAATCAATCAATCAATCAATCAATCAATCAATCAATCAATCAATCAATCAATCAATCAATCAATCAATCAATCAATATGGGGCAGAATACTGGACCACCCTCTGTCAGATCTGCTTTAATTTGGATTCCTGCCTTGAGCAGGGGGTTGGACGCGATGGCCTTACAGCCCCCTTTTCCACCTCCATCATTCTAGGATTCTATAAGCAACACACTTTGCTTTGGGCTGGCAACTGACACAAAAGCTTTTGATCATGAATACCTTCTCTGCGGCTTCCACCGTCTTTTGGGTTTTTCTAGCTGCATGCCTCTTGTGATCATAATACCTGGGAAAGAGAACAACCATATTAGGTCTAGACCATCTGCTTCTTGTTACTATTCCCTGACATTCACTTCTCACACATACACACATACACACACACACACACATCATTTGCTGACTGGCACACCAGACTGCCTAACAGGAAGTTCACCAGCAGGAGACAAGAGCAGCCACAATTTCCACCATTTCCCTTCATCCAGCAAATGGCAAAGGGCGTCAGCCGTCTTCCGAGACCAGAGGTGACCGCAAGCCATCCTGAGGAGCCATCATCATTCAAGGCCCTGACCTCTATGAACGTACAAACGATGTTTCCAAACCAACCCTGGGGCAGCCTGCCAACAGTGCTACCCATCCTGATCCGTTCTGCTCTGCCCGTCGGCCAAAGTCATTTTACATTGGACCCTCTACTTATGGAATTAATCCATATTGGAGCGGTGGCTGCAAGTCGAAAAGTCTGTAGGTCGAATCTCCATTGACCTACAATGCATTGAAAACCAATTAATCCCATAACTGGAGGTTTTTATTCTATTTTTGTTCCATTTTGTTTTTTTTTCTAGTCTGTAAGTCGATTCTCCGGCTGCAAGTCGAATCTAAATTTTGCAGCCAGAGAAGTCTGTAACTCAAAAAGTCTGTAAGTCGAGCCGTCTGTAAGTCGAGGGTCCACTGTATATTCAAGATACTGGTATCTTGAATATAAAAGTCTTGAATATCTTGAATATTCAAGTCCAGATATACGTTCATTCACTGCCAGGGGAGGAAATGCTCTGCAAAGCTCGCTGGGATGGGTTCTCCAGCATTTAATAAATAGCCCATGATCACTGAATTCAAGGGTTCCCGACCTTGGGTAAAATCAGGCCTTCCTGGACTCCAACTCCCAGAAATCTTGGCCATCAGAGCTGGTGGTGAAAAGGCTTCTGGGGGATGCAGTCCAAAAACCCACCTGGGTGACTCCAGGTTGGGAACGACTGAATTCATTCTTCCACTAAGGTGCCCGTGGATGGGGGTCTGGGTCTAACCCTAGACACAGCCCTCTTAAAAGATTTATTTTATTTTTATTTATTTATTAAATTTATACTCCGCCCCTCTAGACCATGTCTACTCTCAAAGATATGGCTCAATGTGTGCTAAACTAATCAAAAACAGCGCAAAGTCCGTGATGGAAGACACTTCTGGAAGTGGCTCTTCTTCGAGGAGGAATTGAACTCCCAACCTCTGGCTTCACAGTCAGAGTCCTAAACCACCGAGCTACGTATCCAGGCAGTGCAAATTCACATAAAAACGCACTTGATTACAGAGAAAAGCCCACAAGCTGATGCTCCGGATGCTGGTGTTAAGAGATGGAGGAATCTGGCAGCTATAGCCAAATACAGCCATCATTTTCCAAGCTTGGGGGGGGGAATGCAGGGCGGGGGGGCTTCTGCACTGCTGGGGGTCCTTCAAGCCCTCTGAGCACGAGGGCCCCCATGGTTTTGGAGACAGGCCGGAAGGGCTGAAGCAAAGGAAAACCATCCTGCAAAATGGGCAGATATCTTTTTCCCTGTGAGGGAGGGGGTGTTAAAACGATGTCCCTGCCCTGGCCCTGGCTTGCCTCCACGCACGGCCCAAGCACACCTTTCCGGGCTCCTTACCTTTTGGCATTTGCATACGCAGACAAGCTGAGGTCCACGTCCACCAGCAGCGGCTTGTTCCTCTGAAGCTTCTTGAGCGGCTTGGCCTTCTTCTTCTTTTTCCTCCCCTTCAGCTCCTCCTCGGCTTTGTCTTCAGCCTCCCCCTCGTCCTCCCCCTCTCCCTCGTCTTCGTCGGAGAAGGCATAAGGGTTCCTGACCGAGAAGAAAACATGGTCGCTGCTTTCAGAACCCACGTCCCGAAACGCCTCTGGCTTTCCTCGGCGAAGTTTGTTTTCACTGCCTCGGTCAAGAGGGAGGCACAAAGGGGCTCTTTTGGATCACGGGAGCCTAAAAACTTTCATTTCACAAACAGGAAACACCTCCCCCCCCAGCATGTTGTCAAAACATAAGGGCTAGAAACATCTCTCAAAGTGAAACACTACGCTTTTCAGGGTCCTGAGTTACTCAAGTTACTCTTCAAATAACCTCTGTACATGTACAGTAACGGCTGCGGAGGCCTTAGACCTTCGACAGAGCAGAGTCAAATTCCCAAAGGGAAATGTCAGTCTGCAGCCGGCAGCAGCCAAAGCAAGGGAGACGTTTGCCGCGTGCAGGGTTTCGGTTCCCACAAGGCCCTTTACGGCTTTGGCTATAACCTGGTGGTACAGCATCGCCGCCTGCAGGAAGCATCTCCTTTATTCTCCAGCCTCCTGCTGAAAAGAGGTTAAAAAAGACAAAAATGTGGCGGCACCTTGAAGACTAACTTTGATATCTTTTAACATGACCTTTCGTGGACAAGCAGACTTGTCCACGAAAGCGAGCGTTAAAAGATATAAAAGTTACCGTTTCCCGGAAAATAAGACCTAACCTGAAAATAAGCCCTAGTAGGATTGTTCAGGATGCTCATAATATAAGCATTACCCCAAAAATAAGCCCCAGTTAAGTGAAACTACCCTAAAAATAAGCCCCATTTAAGTGAAACCCCGTCCTCCTTCCTTGTGCAGCAATCAGAAGAGGACAGGATTGTATATGAATAAGTGTAGATTGCTGTACATGAAAAAATTAAAGCATCCCCTGAAAATAAGCCATAATGCGCTTTTTGGAGCAAAAATTAATATAAGACCCTTTCTTATTTTCAGGGAAACACGGTAGTTTTTAAGACGCCTCCACGTTTTGGTCTCTTTTCCCTTTTTCTTTTGTTTTCACCTATCAGGCCGACGCAGACCCACAGGGCTAATCCCTCCTTCTACAGCTCCTGCTTCAAAGAGGGGGTGGGCGACACTGCCCCCGCGTTTTAAAAACGGGTCACCCGTTCAAAATGCTGGCCGGGAGGATCCATGCCTCTCCGGAGCCCAAACGGAGAGGGCCGATGGAAGAGGAGGAGTGAGGACCACGCCAGAAGGAAACCTCTCTCTTTCTCTCTCTCTTCCCCCCCCGCCCCCCCCAGGGCTTACTTCAGGAGCATCGTGATGTGGTTGGTCTGCAACTTGAGCTCCTTGATGGCGCTGGCCACGGGGTCCCCTTGAGCCTGGGCTTCCTTGACAATGGCCCCGATCTCTGTCCAGTCGATCTGGTTGGCCAAGGCGCTCCGGACCACCTGGATGGCCCGATCCACCACCTCCAGGTTCATCTCCACCAGTTCGCCTTTCATCTTATCGACTTCCTTTGGGAAAAGAAACAGCACAGAGCCGTCGGTCTTCTTTGCACCACAGAAATATTCTGTACTCCTAACCATCTGGCCGCGGGCAAGCAAACCAGGGAGAAAGGAAAGCACAGAAATCGCAGCTCGGAGCTGAGCTGGTCCCCCTCACCCAGGACTCTCCTCCCAAAAATCTCACCCCACTCTGCGACTCCACTCACTGGCCATCAGCTACCCTTCAAGCTCCTCCACTTCCAGAATTATATTACAGGAGCGTCACAACAGCAAAAGGGGGGGTCCCCTTTCCTTCTTCTGACGACGGTGCAGCTGGCCCAAGGGAACGCAGGCTGGCTCCTCCCTCCCAGCTGGGGAATCGAACTCCCAACCTCTGGCTCCACAGCCAGAGGCCTAACTCAGTGAGCTATCCAGCCAGCTGACTTTTAAGGGAAGTCTTATGTTTTAATTCCAACGACGCTTGTCTTCTCCTGGGCAGAAGACCCTTCCATGCCTTGAAGCCCTTTTCCCTCGGCTTTCCTTCCCCGCTCCATTTTGGAATCGGCGTGCTACCTGAGCTTGATGAAGAGCTTCCAGCCTGTGCTCGTGGTCCTTCCGGACGTTCTCCAGCTTCTTCAGAGCCTGCTTCTCCTATCAGGACAAAAAAGCGCAGAGTGGAAAGGGTGGGCCGGACAAACGGGGACCAACGTGATGCCGCTGCGGACTCAAGACAACACAAGCCAAGTACAGAGCGAAAGGCAGGCCATCAGAATGGCCACGCAGAACCGGCCAGAAGGGGCTCCCCCCCCAAGAGGTTCCACCGATCGAGCACACGGTGTTCCCGCTGGCAGCCAAAGGGTTTCCCCATCCTGCCTGCCTCTGGACTAGAAGAAAGCCAGTCATCAGGCTGCATCACTGCCAGCAGAGCACATTTAAGGCTTGCTGGGGGAGCAAACCGGTCTCCCCACAAAAAGCAACACCCCTTCACTACATCTTATTTTCTGAATCTGGGGAGGTCTCTTTTTTTCCTAGTACTGCTTCCAAACTGCACGGGGCACTCTGAAAGCTTTAGTTCAGGAAACTAATTTTCCAAACTCTATTTACTCTTTCCAAGACCAGCCTCATCTCTGATTTTTCACCCTTTTGAGCCATCTCTGCTTCTTCCTTTAGCAAACTCTCCAAACGCTTATCTGAGGGGTTACGGAAACTAATTTTCCAAACTCTATTTACTCCATGTGAGGAGAGACAGCTAGGCCATCTCTCGGAAGGTCCCATGCGTGACTCTGGGTCCCTCTGCAAAGACCGGGGCCAGGGCACGGGAGCAAACCCCCCCTCCTGCCAATGCTGCAGCTCTCAGGAACGCCAGCCAGCAGAGGACGGCCGCCCTCCCCAGAGGGAAAGAGGGGTGGACGACACCAGGAAACCCACTTTCCTACAGTCAGCCAGCAGCCCTCGAGAGGAGCCTGTGGGGTTTCTTCATGCGGCCAGTACCTGCTGCAATGCCTTCAAGTCGATCTTCTGGCTCTCGAGCTTGGAATAAAATTCATCCACTGCCTTTTCCAAAAGAGAAAAAAAAAGGCATATATGTTTCTCAAAAAAAATTTTAGGAAACCGATTTTAAATATCATAGAAAACACGTCTACAAAGAACAGAACAGAATGAAACAGATTACATTGCATAAGCCTTCATTGAAGCTTCCTCGAAAACTGAAACTAGATCGTCCCAAAAAAACAAAGTCAGATATTTGTTTCATCTTATTCTTAATTCTGTCTCCTTCTGGTGTTTTGCACCAGACCTCAGGAGCAGAAAATCCAGCCATCCCACCCACCCACCATTGCAAGAGCATAGGGCCAAACAAACGCCACCCTTCCTCAAAAACGTGTATTCAAATCCTTCAGCTCTGTTCTCAGGCTATCAAATCCGAGATCCAAAGATTCATCCTCCTGCAAGCGAAGGAACCAAGCAAGACTCTTTGTTCCGAGCTGACTGATACAAGGCTGACCAAACCCCACGTACCTTGTTGAAAGATTCAAACTCCACGTACGGACACTTTGTGTGTTGCGAAAACAGGAAAGGGTGAAACTCCTCGTACCTGCAAGACAGACATTGGAGAATGTGGTTTCCTAAGTGGGAGAGCAGGAAAGGCCACCCTCCGAAAGCCCCCCCCCCAATACCTACGTGAAGATTTCTGCTGCAGGTCGGTCCGGCTCCAGGCTTGGCTTCTTCTCCCTTTTTTGGATGATATAGCCCTGCCAAAAGAAAGTGAACGGGAGCAAGAGTGAAGGGCTTTTTTTCCCCACGTGCTTTCCCAGGTTGAAAGAACAGGTGCGGGACGGAGGCTCAAGGGTCCACTTGCAAAGACTGGCAAAGAAGGACGAGGCCAGAGCTTGCCGACAGCAGACAACGAGACACATCGAAAGTTCGATGAGCCCCTCCTCTCCCAAATGGTGAGAAGAATCAAATCATCCCCTTCTCCCCATTTAACTCCACCACCGCCCTCTTCTCCCTTGGACCTCCACTCCTGCCTTTTGCATGAGATTCCTGGAAAGGCTCCAGAGCAATTCCTTTCCCCTTGGCAACCCCGCGAAGGCGATGTTCCAACACGGCCACTCTCTGCATCGCAGGGTCTGCCGGGACTGGAAAGGGCACAGCATCGGCTGCCAAAAGGCTGAGCTACCTGGCCCTGAAAGCTGTCCATCATCTCCATGTAGCCTTCGGCTTTCTGTAAAGCAGCAAATATCCTTTCAGTATCTGGAAGAGGAAGAGGGAGAGGAAGAGAGAGAGCACCTATTTAAGACAAGATCATTTTTAAAGTTTTACATGCTTTTAATAATGCAAAGTATTTTAATCTGTTTTATAGATTGTTTTAATGTAAAACTTCCTGTCTTTTTATTTCTGTTTTTTAAATACTATGAGCTGCCCTGAGTCCCCTTACTGGGAGGGAGGGAGGGAGGGATGGATGGATGGATGGATGGATGGATGGATGGATGGATGGATGG